GGACGACCAAACCGGCGGTTGATGTCCACGCAGACCGCGACCCGGGCGATGGTCGCCTGGTTCTCGACGACGAAGCGGAGCATGATCTTCATGAGGGTGCGGCGCTGGGCGAAGGTCGAATTCGCCCACGTCGCCTGCGCGGCGCGACACCGCGCGACGGCGGCGACGACGTCCGCGGGCGCCGTCGCTGGCACGGACCCGAGGTCCGCGAGCGTGCAGGGGTCCCAGCATTTCACGACGCTCGTGTCGAGCTTGCCGTAGGCGCCCGCGCTCTCGTGGGCCTTGAGGTCGAAGGTCTTGCCGCCGCTCGGCGCCTCGGCGAGCGCCGGGTCGACCGCGGCGCGGGCCACGGGCCACTCGAAGAAGATGCCGCCGAACTGGACGCAGTAGTAGGCGAGGAGCAGCGTGCACGCGTACTGCGCGACGACGACGAGGTCCACGGTGACGACGAGCGACATGATCGCGATGCCAAAAGCGCGCGCAGCGTCACGATCTCGATCGATCGTGTGGCGTCGATCAGCGGCACCATTGTTGGTTGAGGCAAACACCGGCCCAAGGAGGGCGCTGCCGCACCCCGGGACCCCGCGACGACCCACACCTTACCCCGCGGGCCCCTCGCCGCCGCCGCGCGGCAGCGGGACCCAGGACGGCCCCGGCCCGGCCGCGGCGCCGCCGTCGACGACGCGCGCGAGGTCCGCCAGCGCGGCCGCCGCGAGGCGCCGCACCTGGAAACCCACAATCTTGAGTCGCCACGACTTCGAGCGTCCTCGAACGGGTTCGGCCCAAACTTTTCTCTCACGAACTCGACGAGCGACATCGATCCGTCCAAAAATCAGCCGAAACGACTTCGATGGAGGTCTCGAGGTTCGCCGGGCGGGGCCGGTCGTTTCCGGCGCGGCGCCGCGCGACGGGCGACTGGAACTGGGCGTCGACGTCCGCGTAGCGCGCCGCGGGCTTGACGTTGGCCTCGAGGAGCCAGGGCGCGCCGCCGTCGTCGACGATGAAGTCGAAGCCCACGAAGACGAGAGCGCCCGCCGGCAGCCCGCGGCCCGCGCGCGCGTGGACGGCGGCGACGCAGGCGGCGATGGCGGGCCGCGTCTCGCCGTCGTAGGCCGCGCCGAGCGCGCCCCGCACGTCGGCCTCGGCCGCGATGTTGTGGTCGTAGTGCGCGCCGTACGAATCGCCGTCGCCTGCGCGGGACTCGAATCTTCGGCCCGACTTCGACGTGTGCAAAATCGACAGTTTCGACGCGAGCACTTCCGCCGTGCTTCGAGAACTTGACGAGAGCCATCGAGTCGTCCAAACATCAGCCGCATCGACGTCGACGCGACCGAGATGCGTGAAGTTCGGCCGGTCGATTCGCGCGCGGGCGTTCGCGCTGCACGCGCTTGTTCATGAGGCCCGCCGTCGCGGTCTTGGCGCGGTGCTCCGAGAAGAGGGACGCGGCGTCCCGCGTCAGGAGGGCCCAGACGCGCAGCTCGAAGAAGGACGGGCCCCGCGGGAGCCGCGCGGGCGTGACCTGGGCAGGAAAAGAGTGCGAAATTTCCAACTTTGGAGGCTCATATCTCGGTCGTTTTCCACTCGTTTCGGCTAATTCTTGGACGAGCGATCATCTCTCGGAGCGCTCTCGACGCGTGGACGCTTTTTTTTCGGAACGCGCGCGCGCGGAACACTCATGTTGAAGCGAACTTGAATCACTCTTTTCCTGCCCTGGGTCGTACGGCGCGCTGCACGACGACGGCGTCGCCGGCCGCGGCGAGCACGCGCGCGGCGACGGCGGCCGCGGCCGCGCGCGTCGCCGCGGGGAACGTGCCCTTGCCGCCGCCGGCGCGCGGGTGCTTGACGAAGTAGCGCGGCGCGCTGCCGCCGCCGCCGTCGGCCTCGCGCGCGGCCCACGCGTCGAGCGCGTCGCCGCTCCGGAGGACCCACGTGTCGGGCCACCGCGGCGCCGCCGCGCCCGCGAGCGCCGCGAAGAGCCGCGCCTTGCAGGCCAGGGCCAGGCAGCCGTTGCACCAGACGTGCTGGCCGGGCCGCGGGGCGCAGGGCAGCGGCGCGCCCTTGGCCGGCAGCACGACGGCGGCGTCGGCCGGCTCCGCCGCCGCGGCCCAGCCCCGCGCCTCGAGGAGCGCGACGAGCGCGTGCGACGGGTCCGCGGCGTAGTAGGTGCGCGGCTGCGGTGCTGGTGGTGGTGGCGTCACCATCGATGCCTTGCTGGCATCCATGCTGTGGCAACAATCGGCGATCACGTTATTCTTCGTGATGATGAGCGCGGCCGGCCCGCTTTTGACGGCGCTACTAGCCTTGTCGCTGGTGCGCGTTGCGGCCTACGACGTGGAGGCCGCCGGCGCGTCCTTCCGGCGCGACGGGTTCGCCGTGCTGGAGGGCTTCGCCGGTGCCGACGAGGTCGCGGCCATGAAGGATGCCATGGCCGAGCTCGAGGCGGGCTACTGGGCGTCGCCCCAGGCCGCGCAGGCCACCGTCTTCCGCACGGACGCGGGCCAGTCGGGCGCCCAGGCCCAGAGCCGCTACTTCTTCGACAGCGCCGACGCGACGCACTTCTTCGAGGAACCGGACGGGAAGCGGCTGAACAAGGCCGGCCACGCGTTACACCTCCGGCGCGACGCCTTCGGCGCCTACAGCCGGAGCGCCAAGGTCGCGACCCTGCTCCGCGCCCTCGGCTACGTGCGGCCCGTGCTGCCCCAGTCCATGTACATCTTCAAGCCGCCGGCCGTCGGCGGCTCCGTGACGAGCCGGGCAGCACAAGGGTGCGAAATTCCCAACTTCAAAGGCTCATATCTCGGCCGTTTTCCACTCGTTTCGGCTGATTTTTGGACGAGCGATCATGTCTCGGAGCGCTCTCGAAGCGTGGATGCTTTTTCCGGAACGCGTGCGCGCGGAACACTCACGTTGAAGCGACGTTGAATCACCCTTGTCCTGCCCAGGTGACGAGCCACCAGGACGCGTCGTTCCTCCGCACGGCGCCGGCCCAGACCGTCGCCGGCCTCTGGCTCGCGCTCGACGACGCGACGCTGGCCAACGGCTGCCTCTGGGTGCGCAACGGGTCCCACGTCGAGCCCGTGCGGCGGCTCTTCGTCCGCGACGGCGAACGGGACCCGAGCATGGTCTTCGTGCGGCCGCCGCCGGACGACTCCGGCGCGAACCACCTCGCGCCGCCCTTCCTCGACGCGGCGCGGCGCGCGGCGCCGGCGCGCGTGCCCTGGGAGGGCAGCGACGTCGACGAGGGAGACCTCGCGGCGCGCGGCTACGCGGCGGTGCCCGCGGCCGCGGGCACGCTGGTCGTGTTCGCGGGCACGCTCGACCACCTCTCGCTGCCCAACACGTCGCCCCTGCCGCGCCACACGTTCCAGCTCCACGTCGTCGAGTCCGCGGGCGTCGCCTGGCACGCGTCGAACTGGCTCCAGACGGCGCGGCCCGGCGGCTTCCTCGCCCTCGGCGCCGAGTCCGGCGAGCTGTAACACGGCGCGCCCTTACTTCTTCTTCTTCGACACGGTGAGGCCCTCGCTGAGCAGCGACGACAGGTCGTCCTCCTTCTTCTTGGCGACCTTCTTCTTCGCCGGCGCGGGCGCGGCGGCGGCGGGCGCCGGCGCGTTCGGGTCGAAGCCCTTGAGGCAGGGGAAGCACTTCTCCGGCTCCTTGGAGATCTTGTCGTGCTTCGCGGTGACGTGCGTGTAGAGCTGCTTGTTCGTCGCGGACACGAGGAACGTCTGCATGCCTGCGCGCGGGAAACCTCCGGCGGCGCCGCGGGCGCGGGCGGGACGCGGCGCGCCGCGCAGACGAGGCACTTGTAGGCGTTCTTGTCGGCGTCGGCCTTGGCCTTGGACGCGGCTCGCTCTTCCGGCGTCTTGCCTTTGTCTTTAGCGTTTCTCTCGCGCGCGGCGTTGGCCTGCGACGTCCCAGCGTTTTCGCGCACATGTTTTGCGACAGCACCTTCGCAACGTTCGATCCTTTGCCCATCGTTGGTCGCAGTCCACGCTTGCTGCGCAGCGGCGGCGCGTCTGTTGCGCCGCGGCGCGCGTCGACGCCTCCGACGTCGATGGTCCGTCGACTGTCCTTGTCGATCGAGATGCTGCAAAGTGAACATCAAGAACTTGTTCAATTCCGACTTCAAAGCACAATCAGATCCCGTATATCCGTCGCTGCCGGGCGGCGTGGGTCGCGACCGCCCCCGTGGCGGCGCAGGCGCACGTCGCGACGAGGGTGTTGTTGCCGCGCGGGAGGTCGACGAGCCACGTGAGCCCGGCGGCCGGGAATTTCGCGGCGTCGCGCGTGCGCTCGCCCGCGGCCTGCCCGTTGACGGCGAGGGACGCGGCGTCGCAGTTGCTGTAGACGCGGACCCACTGCTTGGGCTCGTCGCGCGGCGCCGCGCGCGAAAGCCACGCGTCGACGCGGCAGAGCGGCCCGTCGGCGCAGGCCGTCTGCCGCGCGGCGAAGACGTAGTAGGCGAGCTTGCGGGCGCCGGAGCGGGCGTGGAGGCCCTTGGCGTTCAAACATTTGGCGGCGCCCGCGTTCGCGCAGCGCTGGGGCGACGGGACGTCGCGCCAGAGCCAGTGCGCGCCGCCGGCCCACTGTTCGTCGGTTTGCTGGAACCGGAGGTGCCACTCCGCGAGGTCCGCCTGGTACGACTCGGTCCACGCGTCCAAGCTCCGCGCGGCGCCGCGGACCGACGCCGTGGACCACGTCGCGCCGTCGCGGCGGAACCGGCCCCGGCGGAACTCGCCGGGGACCGCGGCCGCGCCCCGCTCGACGTGCCAGAGGGCCGACCGCGAGCGGCCGTGCGCGGCGCGCTCCTTCCGCCAGCGCGCGCCGTAGTCCGCGTAGGAGCCCGTGTACCAGCCGGCCCAGACGCTGGGGCTGTAGACGTCGACGAGCGCGCGGCCCGCGTCGAAGGCCCGGAGCCCCGCGAGCCGGTAGGCGTCGGCGCGGATCCGGTTCGCGAAGCCCCGCGCGACCTTGGCGACCTTGGCCTCGTCGACGCGCGGCAGCTTGGCGACGTCGCGGAAGCTCGAGTGCCACGTCATCGCGGGCTCGTTCGCGACGCCGACGACGAGGCGCGCGGCGCTGTTGCCGTTCCGGTCCAGCGGCTCCGCGAGCGCGCCCTCCGCGCCCAGCGCCCAGCGCCGCGCGTCCGCGCCGAGCCCGCCCCGGTACCTACCAAGTGCGACGAGGTCGGATTTTTTCACAGCTTCAGGCGAAATTCACGCGAAAAAACACTCCTGTCGCTCGACGCTGCCCGGAACCAGGGCAGGTCGACCCGGAGCGCGAGGCCGAGCGCCTCCGCGGCCGCGAGGAACGCGCGCGTCGGCGGGTAGTGCGCCGTGCGCACCAAATCGAAGCCCGCGGCCTTGATCGCCGCCGCGTCCGCGAAGGCCTCGGCGTCGCTCATCGCCGCGCCGCGCGCCGCCGAGTCGACGCGGACGCGCGTGCCCCGCGGCGCGGAGCGCGCGCCGTCGAGCTCGACGAAGCCGCGCCGCGCGGCGACGTCGCGGAAGCCGACGTTGTGCCGGACCTCGTCGCTCGCGCGCCCGGCCGAAATCGCGCGGACGCGGACCTCGTAGAGTCGCGGCGCCGCCGGCGACCGGGCCGCGACGGGCCGCGCGAAGGCGTCGAGCCGGAGCGGCGCGCCCGCGGCGCCGCGCCCGCGCGCGAGGGGCCCGCGCGCGTCGCGGACCTCGACGTCGACGGCCGCGCCGCCGTCGACGACGACGACGGCGTCGAGCGCCGGCCGGCCGTCGCGCCGCCGCGCGGCGCGGAGACGACGCGCGCGGCGCCCGTCGCGAAGAGCCGCGCGCGCCGCGCGAGCCCCCCGGCGACGTACCAGTCGGCGAGCAGGCCCGGCAGCACGTCGCGGCTCGGCGCGTTGTCCACGGCGACGACGAGCGGGAATGGTTCCGCCGGCGGGCCGCGGAGCTCGGCGACGAAACCGCGATACGCGCCGACGCGCGCGCCGGCGACGCCGCCGTTCCAGGACACCGTCGCCGCCGTCGCCGCGGCCTCGAGCTCGAGGAACAGGCGCGACCCGCCCGCCGCCGCCGAGGCAAGCGGCGCGCGCGCCGCGGCGTAGGCGCCGGCGGTCTCGTTCGCGCCGAAGCTGTGCGGCACGGCCACGGCCTCGCAGGCCGCCCAGTCGCGGCGCCCGCCGCCGCAGAACCGCCAGTCGACGAGCGCCACGCGGCCCGGCCGCGACGCCAGCGCCGCGCCGGCGACGGCGCAGCGCCGCCGGAGCGCGCCGCGGCGCATCGAGGAAGGCAGCCCAGGCTCGTGCAGCGTGCCCTTCGTGCTCACTTCAACGTCGGCCGAACGGAACCCCGTCTTTCAACCGCCCGCCTGAACGCCCGCCCGTCACGAGTCGCGGGGCGCGTTCCTAGGCGGCGAGGGGCCGCGCGAGGGCGGCCGCGCCGTCGGCGGCCTCGACGTCGAGGGGCATGGCGAGGGCGAGGACGCCGTAGTCGTCGGCGCCGTCGGCGTCGCCGTAGTCGTCGAGGCGGCCGTAGGCGACGACGGACGCGAGGTCCGGGAAGAGGACCGTGTCCGCGGCCGCCCGGAGCGGCGACCTGTATGGAATTCAACCACTGGTTTGGGTGGTCCTGACCAAACTTGAGAATTCTCTAGCTCGGTCACATCGAAGTCGATTCGGCTGATTTTTGGACGAATCGATTGCTCTCGTCGAGTTCTCGAAGCACAGCCGAAGAGGTTGCGTCAAAACCGTCGCGTACGCTCATATTGAAGTCGGGTTGAAGATTTGAATTCCACACAGGCGGCGACGGCGCGTCGGACACGCGGCGGCCCAGCCCTCGGAGCCGCCGCCGGAGCCGCGCGACGCGCGGGTGCGAGCACCGGAGGCCCGCCCGGGCGGCGACGGCCGCGACGTCGCCGTCGGCGACGTCCGCGAGCTCGTCCGCGTCGAAGACGAGGCCCAGGACCGCCGCCGCGAGCTCGACGTCGTCGCCGAGGCCCGTCGCCGCGAGCCACGACCGGTCGAGGGAGTTGAGCGCGAGCCAGGCGTCGACGGTCGCGGCGTCCCGACTGGCGTCACCGAGCGTCGCGCCGGCCTCCCCGAGGCCGACGACGAGGCGCCGCAGCGTCGCGGCGTCGGCAACCAAATCCTCGAGCTCCGCGGCCTCGAAGAAGGCGAGGTCGTCGAAGGACTCGGCGAGGCCCGCGAGCTGCGCCTCGAGGGCGCCGAGGCCGTGGCTCTCGACCCAGCGCTGGAGGGGACCGTCCTGGAAGACCATGCCGCTGCCGTTGAACGCGTTCGGCGTGCTGATTTTTTTCCCAGCATTCCTGTCTCTGCGGTGAGATTCTGCGGGGCTGCTTACATAAGCTGAAGCTGCCTTTCAACGCTGCCCATGTTGACGCACCGGAGCATGGCTCGTGCCTGATGCGACGCTGCTGGCGGCGCGCGGTCGTCGCCGTGCTCGTCGCGGTGTGCCTGGGCCTCGTCGCGGTGTTTCATGTGCACATACAGCCGCACGAGGTCCACGGCTCCGCGGCGGCGCACGTGCAGCTCCACGCCTGGGAGCGCGAGGTCGGCCGCCAGCGCGCGGCCCTCGAGAGCTTTTACGCGACGAACGGCACGGCGCCGAGGGCGGCTTGGGGCGGCGCGGCCCGCGCGGCGCGACGCGTCGCGAACGCGACGGCGGACGGGCGGCCCGGCGCGGCCCGCGCGGCGCGACGCGTCGCGAACGCG